GTGTGTGTCTTGTATGTTCTCCCCTGTGTGTGTCTTGTATGACTTCATATAAGAACAGAGATGAAGTCTCACCGGGTGGAGGTTGAAGGAGGCGGTCAGGCTGGCTTTGTAGTGCTGTGAAGGAAGCATGGAGGGTGTCACGTGTGCAGACATTTGATGAGGATAGACGGACACGGGAAACATACAGAGGTGAACATATTACCTGAGCCACGCGTGCGTTCTTTATACTTATCGGCGTGTGCTGGATCCCTTTCAGGCCGTACAATTCCACCACATCCATCGGCTCCTGACACACAAACACGGGACACATTGTGGGAATAGTACAAATCGGGATTTCGGGGATTAGAGCCCCTGTCTGGTTTTTGTTGCTCGCCGGGGCCCCTGCGGGGAGGAGGTTTCACCCTCGAAATCTTCATCAGATGAGGACTCAACACCCACCTGGTGAGACATAACACGCGTGTGACCAGGAGACCACGTGGCACAGCTGGGACGGGAAATCTCAGAGATGACTCCTCCCACCACCATCAGGGAGAGTCAGGGAAGGAAGTCATGGATACAGCACCAATCACATCCAGGAAATGCCGGCAAATCTCCTTCTGGTGACCCGGAGCCGGGCGAGGTGAGAGGCTGACCCGGAGAGGCGGAGCCGGGCGAGGTGAGAGGCTGACCCGGAGCGGGGCGAGAGGCTGACCCGGAGAGGCGGAGCCGGGCGAGGCGAGAGGCTGACCCGGAGCGGGGTGAGAGGCTGACCCGGAGCGGGGCGAGAGGCTGACCCGGAGAGGCGGAGCCGGGCGAGGTGAGAGGCTGACCCGGAGCGGGGCGAGAGGCTGACCCGGAGAGGCGGAGCCGGGCGAGGTGAGAGGCTGACCCGGAGCGGGGCGAGAGGCTGACCCGGAGAGGCGGAGCCGGGCGAGGTGAGAGGCTGACCCGGAGCGGGGCGAGAGGCTGACCCGGAGAGGCGGAGCCGGGCGAGGTGAGAGGCTGACCCGGAGCGGGGCGAGAGGCTGACCCGGAGAGGCGGAGCCGGGCGAGGTGAGAGGCTGACCCGGAGCGGGGCGAGAGGCTGACCCGGAGAGGCGGAGCCGGGCGAGGTGAGAGGCTGACCCGGAGCGGGGCGAGAGGCTGACCCGGAGAGGCGGAGCCGGGCGAGGTGAGAGGCTGACCCGGAGCGGGGCGAGAGGCTGACCCGGAGAGGCGGAGCCGGGCGAGGTGAGAGGCTGACCCGGAGCGGGGCGAGAGGCTGACCCGGAGAGGCGGAGCCGGGCGAGGTGAGAGGCTGACCCGGAGCGGGGCGAGAGGCTGACCCGGAGAGGCGGAGCCGGGCGAGGTGAGAGGCTGACCCGGAGCGGGGCGAGAGGCTGACCCGGAGAGGCGGAGCCGGGCGAGGTGAGAGGCTGACCCGGAGCGGGGCGAGAGGCTGACCCGGAGAGGCGGAGCCGGGCGAGGTGAGAGGCTGACCCGGAGCGGGGCGAGAGGCTGACCCGGAGAGGCGGAGCCGGGCGAGGTGAGAGGCTGACCCGGAGCGGGGCTGCGGGGCGAGAGGCTGACCCGGAGAGGCGGAGCCGGGCGAGAGGCTGAAACTACCTCAGGTGGGAAGAGGTTCCGGGGCCACAACTCCACCTTGTCCTTCATAACAATAGACTGCTCCAGGTTATTATTATACGGGATTTATGGAGCGCCAACAATGTGCTCCGCCCTGCACAGAATAGTGGAGACAATACAGTTACAATGGGGTGGGGAGGGGCCTGATCCTGGGAGCTTACAATCTAGTAGGAGGGGCCTGATCCTGAGAGCTTACAATCTAGTAGGAGGGGCCTGATCCTGAGAGCTTACAATCTAGTAGGAGGGGCCTGATCCTGAGAGCTTACAATCTAGTAGGAGGGGCCTGATCCTGAGAGCTTACAATCTAGTAGGAGGGGCCTGATCCTGAGAGCTTACAATCTAGTAGGAGGGGCCTGATCCTGAGAGCTTACAATCTAGTAGGAGGGGCCTGATCCTGAGAGCTTACAATCTAGTAGGAGGGGCCTGATCCTGAGAGCTTACAATCTAGTAGGAGGGGCCAGTGATACAAGAAGGTGATAACTGTTTGGATGGAGTTATTGGAGGAGGCGGTTATGTTGAGATGGGATCGGCTTCCCTGCAGAGACGGGTTTTTAAGGATCGCCTTGAGGTGGGCAGCGTAGGAGATAGGCGGACAGATTGGGGTAAGGAGTTCCAGAGGATGGGGGGCACACTGGAGAAGTTACACCGTCCCCATACCAAACCCAGCTCGGCTCCATTAGAGTTCCTGCATACAGGAGCCCCGCACACCGAGAGGCCACTCAGTGCCAGCAGGAGCGTGCTCGGATACTGACGCGTTTTGCTCTGGGCCCGGCACTCTCTCTTTATAGGCCGCCGGCTGAGACACAAGAGGTGCCGCCCACAAGAGGTGCCGCCCACCAGAGGTGCCAAGAGAGCCAAATTCTGATCCCGTGGAGTCACGGGGGAATGACCGGTGGGAGCCACATGGGTGACACAGTGCACAAATGTCTTAGGATGGGGACACCAGCGGCCTCCTGAGAGCGAGAACCTCCTGAGGTGCCCCCCCCCGGTACCGTATGCCTTCCATCGATGGTGGAGACCAGAACCAGAACCAGACTTCAGCATTGCCGGATCAGAGATTTCCGTCTTCAAGAAACATCAGAGACAGAAGTTCTGCTGGGTTCTGGAAGAGCCGCCGGAGTGCGTGCCGGGAATCCCCCCATCTGTGTGGAGAGCCTGGAGGGTGACTGGAACGCCCCCCATCTCAGAAAGGATGGAGTATTGGGGACCCCCCTCTTACCCGGGTCCTAGACCACCTCCGGGTGTGGAGGCCATTATGCCATGAGGGATAAGGAGGATCTTTCAGAAGATTCCGGAGGCCGAGGACAGCCTGTGTGGGAGGAGTCACGTGGTGACGGATCGGTGTGACCTGCGATGATCGGAGTAGAACTTGGGGGACGGGACGGCCTCACCGGAGGCTGCGATTCCTGATCTGGGAGCAGAGGGCCCCATGGCTTACGGTGCGCTGGGTCTAGGACCCAGAGACTGGAAGATTCCGGGGGCCACGCTGGCTAAATATGATGGGAGGACGGGACCCCGTGTGGCCCCCGAAGTGTCGCCATTCTTTTGATGAAATGTAAATTTACGTCTATAAAGAGAATGCGGACGCCGATCCTCCGCGCGCCGGCGACGCTTTGCACTGCGTTGGATTGCAGCGGCTCCGTCCGCAGCCTCTCCGGCGCCCTTCCTACGAGGCGTGTACCAGAGGTGCGGCGGGGGGGCTATGGAACCGCTCCGGACCG